TAGTCTTCCTCTTGCACTTATGCAAATTAGGCATATCAATTTGCCAGTATCACTACAACAACACTCGCCATCATCTGTATTCCTGAATACTGTTCCTTTATTGTCCTTTATCCTCACTAAAGTCTACTAATTTTCTTTAATTCTCAGTAACCCCTTCCATCTTAATGACATTATCACCTTGCTTAGGGTGAAATGGTAAAAAAAAAAATTAAACATAGGTATGTTTTTGCCTATTGAATAGCAACAGTGACAAAAATGCTTATTTCAAGACCAAGTTGAAACAAGACAATCACTTAATAGACAAAGGTATCTGAGTGCCTCACATGAAAGGCTTGGTCAAATAATACTGCAATCTAAGAAATGTTGGAGTAAAGGAACTGATTAATTAAACAGTTCAGTTTACTTTGGAACTACTTTTGTCTAAATGCAGATAAATATTTTATTTGTATAAATTATTAAAATGACTAAAGAAAGTAATCACTCATAAATTTACTAACTTAAGTTGATTTATCTCCCTTCCCACTACTGATATAACAGGAAATATAAATAAATGCACATTGATCATTATTATAGTGTCTACTGATTATATCACTATACTCCTGAATGAGTCTCTCCTAACTCTGGCTAAAACTCTTGTTTTAGTCTTGGGAAAGCATAAAAACCAAGACAGGATGCTTTCACACGACTAACAGATGTCACATATATTAATGCACTCAAATGTGAAAACAACCATGACAATATAGAGTAAGGGATCCCCAATACTTTTTGCTGAAATTGTAATTTGAACAGAAGACAAAATTTATCCCCAGTCTATGACGGTGCTATAAATCTGAAGTGAATTTTCTAAAATCATTACTGCCATTAATTTTCAAAATAAATAAAACTTCATCTTTCTTTGTTTTGTTTTTTTGCTTTTTTTTTAACATTAGCTTTTAAAATTTTTATCTATAAGTCTTGTTTGTGGATACTATTTATTGGTCTCATTGCAAAAAATAAGTGAAATACAAAAAGAATTGTGTATTTAAAATTAAAACAAAACATGTTCACCATAGGATAATATATCAGAAAAATATTCATTTTCTTGAGAAGATCAAATAAAAATTATAGAGTGAAAAATCTTTAACATTAATATTTGTTTTAGCCTACCCAATTTTTCACATCTGATTTAACCTTTTATTTTGTGGCACCCTAATTTGTCAAAACTAATATTATATTTTTATTTTCAGTATGTTTAAAATTTGAACCTTAAAACTTGAAATTTACTAAGCAAAGCTTCATATAACACAAGGTTAAACTTATTAAAATATGCACAGTAAGATTGTGTTGTGCCAGTCACCATTTTGCTGACTACCTTTGTAACTTTACCTGAATCATAAACATGGTCTATAATATATTTAATTAAGTACACAACTTATGAATTTATTTTTTACATTATTTTTACCTGCTTATTTTTCTTCTTTGCTGACTAGATTAACCAAAAAGTGATTCACAGTTTGACTCATCTCACCTGGTTGTACTGGACATTTTTATAGTAAATTGATGTCTATCAAATGTTGCAATTTACCTAAGATATGAAGTATATAGCATGTACCCGAGGTGCCACTTGAAGAAGGTTGCCACTGAGCAGCTTCATTTAATATTAGACAAAGCATCCTTAGACAATGAAAAAAAGAGTTTTTTCCAATGTATAATAAATCATAGATATGAAACATGAAGAGCCAGATTAATAAACCACTTATAAAATTTTTCAGGCAAAAATACATGGATCAAGAACAAGATCTTGTTCAGCTGAGCGTAGAAAGAGAAGAAACTGAATAAAATGGTCTTTGAAAATATTATCAACCAATTTGCATCAGTGAATACAATGTAATGGTAATATTAGCTGTTTCCTTAAAATGAAACATTTGATATTCATTGACAAGCAGCCAGTATTACTTTCAGTTGAAATTTATTTTTTATTAAACAGTTTTTACAAGAAAATAGGTTTCTCAAGTTCTGTAATTGTTACTGCTCAATCAAATATTGATGGAAACTTCCTTCCTAACTTTTTTTTGAAGTAGTGTGGAACATCAACATCTTGATTATATCATTATTTCCCTTCCAGTTACAAGTGGTATACATTTTAATTGTTTAGCTGTTGAAAGTGCTCAAGTGTTGTGGTTTCTGTTCTTTGGTACAGTTCTTTCTTTCTGATTCTGTAGCACCAGTCCACAAGGTCTGAAGAAGGATGGCCTTTGCTACAATACAGATTACACTCATTCAAAGCCAATTTCCTTATCTCATGTACTAAATTTTTTATAACTGATATATACACCAAGGTATTTGAATTGTTTAGTATTTACTAATTTCACTTACATTTTGTATTTTTATAATAGATTCATTGTAGGTGCCATCTCTACTCTCCTTCCAATTCCAGATCATAGTTTCTGTTTTGGAAAGATTTATTTTGAACCCTGACTAATTAGCATGTAGTGCTAAAATTTGTTAGTGAAAAGATTCATGTGCCTGACATGGATTTATAATCTATCATAGGTGTGAAGCATTTGGACAACCAGATTGTTAAAATAACATATAAATTATTTGGTGAGAATATGTTGGTCAAGGCAGGCCCAGTGATCTTACTCTGGTGATTGGAGAAAGAGAAGAAACTGAAAATAAATAAGTTAGTGTTATAATTTGTTAATAAAAAAAAAATTAATGAGCCTTACATGAATTTATAATCTGTTATTGTTGTAATGGGTGTGAAGCATTAAGATAGTCAGAATGTTAAACCATGTATAAATTAATTGGTAAGAATATGTTGATCAAGACAGACATAGTGATCTTGCTCTGATGAGTGTAGAAAAAGAAGAAAATGAAAAAACAAGCTTTGAGCATATCATACACCAGTTTGCATCAGTGAATATAAGGAAAGAGCAGTTGTAATTATCATGTAGTGTTATAATTTGTTAATGAGCTTGTATTTTTGAGCTGATATTATTGCAATGCTATTTAAAAGATGTCTGTCACTGTGTTAGTTATATGAATAGGGATGGAATGGAAGGATAATTAGTAGAATATACTTTTTCAAACTTTTGTTAACTCCTTTGTCTTTTGTTATTTTCATGAATCAGCATAAAATAAATAAGACATTTATTTATTTATTTATTTATTTTATTTATTGAGCATTGATTTTTGTTGTATGTTTATAATGGTACAGTTTATTTAATTTTGCTAAAAATATGTCAGGTACTTTTAATTCTTGATCAAGTACTGTACTTTTAAATTCAAAAATTTATTTTTGATATCTTCTCACAGGAAATAGGTATGACATCTGGAGGTAAAAAGCGTAAAAAGACTGCATTGATGTACCCTGATTGCCACAGAGAAGCTTCCATGGTATCATCACATATTGATTGTGTCGATAGCTGGAATGATGGGGACATAATCCATGATATTAATGTAAATGTACAAGGTATGTCAAAAGTAAATTTGGTATTACTATTGTGAATATGAGGGAGACAAATTTCTATAATTCATTATTTTAAAAGTTTTCTTAGAAAATTTTTTCTTTATATTGTAATTTTACCATATTTATGTAATAATTATAAATGACAAATACAAGGATTAAACTCTCAGTCTTTAACGTATATCTTAAATATCAAATATTTTTAAAATGACTTTGTCCTCTAGAGATTTAAACACTTCGAAAAATAAGTCGTATTGTTATTATTATTTTAAAAGAGAAAATGCTATTGTGAAATAAAATAAAGAATCAGCTTGCGTTCGTTATTCAAGGGAGGTAACCATGTAGGCCAAAAAAAATTTAAACTAGTCAGAGAATGTTTCCCACTTGACTGAATTCAGTTTAATCAATGGTATACTTTTTCCTTTATATTTTTGTCAGTTTTATTTAAACATACTATTTTTAATAATGAGGAATCTACATTGTGTTCTACCTCTAATAGTACATATAGTAAATTATTTAAAAACTTAAACTTTGCTATAATATTCTTTCTATAACATGAAGCTGCTCATTTCACCAGACAAACTGAAAGCAGATTTGATTTTTAATTTTATATTGATGTTGTTATAATAAAATTTAATTTCATCATCATGATAATTAAGAAATATTAAGTTAGAAATGATAAAACTAGCATAAAATTAAAAAGTAAAAATGCTTGTTTGAATAAAATTAACAATAAATATTTTCCTATCTCTTTCAGATCAGTATTCTTCTCACTATTCCCTGGCACATACACCTTGGATTGATCAAAATACATTTATGACACCCATAAAACAAAGATTCTCCTGCCCTGTGGATGCCAAGATGTCCCCCAGATATATGCGCAAGTCAAATATTGAGGAACCCTTTGAACGCAGACAACAGGCTGGTTTAGTACCTGCAAAACCATGGACTTTACCGGAAAGTAGGAGACCAAACTTTGATTTCCCACAACTACCTACTGTAGGACAATCAGACTACCAAGGAAATGTAGATCACTTGGTGCAGTTACCTTTACCAAAATATTACGTTCTGGAACAAAACCCAGACAATTCCCCACAGGTACCACATCGAGATTCCTCTGTAGAGGTAGACTGCTCTGTCCAGTTACCACTTCCAAAATATTATGTTTTGGAGCGTAATTCCCAAACTCCACCCCTTATATTATATCCAGAATATCCTGAAGAGACTGAAAATTTAAATGACACTGCTCAATCACCTCTTCCAAAAGATTACGTTCTTGAACCAGATTCTCAAAACCGTCCACAGGTAACATACACAGAAACCTCTTACCTTGGAGTATAATCATAATAACAATAATAATATTGACAGTGTTGTGAATAAAACCTCTTTGACAAAAACATTTAGTTACTGATGACTGCCAGTAATATAATAGAATTCATGAATTGTTTCATTTTTTGCACACAAACAAACAGCAACCAAACCATTTTGACACAATATTTAATCATTGGTGATTAAAAATTGTATTTGGTTGCCAGTTGTGGGATAGATTTTC